GGAAAACATAGTACACAGCAGCTAATTAACTCAATAGCTGAAGTTTCTGATGACAAAATTTTGCTTCTTTGGGGGTGTTTGTTTTAGATTAGCATTGGGCTCTCTAACACTGGTCGGCAGCCAGTCTAGGAGTGGAGCCCCAATAGATGGACAAATGAATAATCTCCTTTGCTCCAGCAGCTCCTGTCACCAAGTTGGTTGCAAATGTACCGGCACCTGCCTTTCCTTTGTTTTAAATCAGCAAGGCTGGTGGGGTGGAGGGATGGGCATGCTGGTGTGTGGGCAGCTCAGAGTCTCCATATACACTGCCCAGGCTTTTGCACCCTGGAGAGGTCACTCCAGTTTCAGTTTATCTTTCAAGCAGGGATTACGTTCAGCAAGCTGATGTCTCACTTGGCATGATTCTATTGTCCCACAAGACAGATAGATGCTATTAAGTAAGTTATCATTACAAATAAGGTACTAAGTAGATACTGGGGTTGAAGAGTTCCTGTGCACTTAAGCAGTGTATTATTATTTGGATCAAAACAAGCTGCCCAGGAGATACTTAGGCAGGGTATTGAGAGGATTAAGGATTGACCTGTATGGTCTCCTGAGGGCCAATCCACATTGTTTGTCAAGACAAAAGTAGATCGTCCATTATACAAAGTGTAAGATTCAGCTAAGATGAACTGAGCACAGAATAAATTAAAGCTCATTCCACTAATCCTCAAGCAGCTGCTTTACCCTGCCTTGCTAGTACCCTTTACCAGAGGTATGTAAATCTATGGTTTAGAGTTCTAAATACATGTCCCGCTCTCTGTGTGTGGACGCATGTACATTTGGAGCCCTTTTCAAAGGGGAACATTTCAGAAGAGCAGCAGCTGTTACCTTCTTATTGTTACATGTGAATGAGCTGAGAATGATTCAAATGTAGCAAAACATGCTTCAGCTTTTAACACTGCCTCCCATTCTGTTGCTTGGTTCATGTGTTCAGATCATGTGCTCTTTAGTTAGTAGGTTGATTCTGCAAATCCTGTTCAAGTAGGGATGCTGGGTGTTGGTCCTGATGAATTGAATCTGAATGTATATACTCAAAGCATGGTTATTAACCCCACTGTGTTTGTGGTACGTCAAGATGTGCTGTCCATGTAGGCTTCATCATCTACCTCTACTGCTTCTAGTTGGATTCTTTACTGATATTGGTAAAGGAACTAAGTTAAGGATGTGGCCACATTTTGCATTTCATGCCTGTGGCTGTGGCAGGCAGGAGGGTGGCACAAGTGTACTCCAATATACTTAGCTATTCAAAAAGATTCTGATTTTTTTTTTAATTTCTGGCGCTCATACATGCATTTATGGGTGGAGTCTGTGGACAAAACATCTTGAACTGCACTTATTGTAGATATAGTGATTATTCTTTTCTAGCTAAATAGCTTTGAAAATCTGATACCATTTCTGTTTGTGAATTAGTAAAATATTATTTTCTACAGGAGATGAAAGACGGCTGCCAAGGAGGTATGAAGATGGACAAGCAACAGGTAAGGATGTTAAATTACAGTTGGTACAAGAGCACAGACTACTTTGCTATTGTCCATCTTTGGAAATGCAGAAATTTGTATTTCAAGTTTTTCAGTTGATGTTTAAGTCACATCTCTTGACTTAAATGAACATTTTCTACTTAGTAGTTGTCATAATAAGTTGAATGCTTACCAAACGTGTTTATGATGCATATGGGGAAAGGTGCCATGTTCATGGTACTCATTTAGAAATTAAAACAGTCCTAAATGTAGTAAAGGCATTCAGAAATGCACTTTGCTGCTATTTTTTAGTACAGTTCTGTAACAAGGGAAGAGAAAATAAGTCTGAAAGGGTGAAGGAAAGTACCAACATAATCGGCTGAAATGAATGGACTGATGTAAAAAACAAAGTCCAAAACAAATCAGAATGGTTAAATGATGGTATGCTAAATCTCTTACGAGAACCAAGTCAAATATTAACCTTTTAAAATATAAGCTTGCCCATTCCTTTATATAGGAAACACTTTTACATTTAAATTTTAAAAAATCATTTGCTGTTACTCGTCCAGTCACCTCAGTCCAAGAAGAAACTCATGGCTTTTATTGTTTCTTATTTTTAATTTCAGGAAATAACTTGGATGCAAGGTTAGAAAACAAAAATGGTAATGCAACACAGTACCTGCAGATCTGTGATAGCATTAGCACAAATAGAGTGCTTAAACAAAAAATCAAGAGAAGGAGGAGGGGAGAAGCCAGGCAGTTTCAAACAGGTAAAATATCCTTAATTGATTATTTTATTTGTTTAACATGAAGAAACATTTAATTCTTAATAGTGGCAGAATTCTTATCCATAGCTTATTTTACTGTTGATCTGCAGATTTCTGCTTGGGACACAGTGCTGGCATTACCAATTTTGTAGCTAGCAGATTGCATTAAAAACAACCAAGAATATTCTACTTTCCTATGTATGTGAGCAATTCCTGAATATAAATGGAGGAGATAGCCTTAAGAATGGGGGAGAGAGAGTTTAGACAGTCTCTCTGTTCATTTATGGTCCATACTCTAAAAATGTCACCAATCCTAACGCCTTTATGATAGCATTAAATTATCAATTTTCTCCAAAATACATGCATTGTAAATGTTTTTAGTTTGGTTGTTTTAAAACTGCTAAACTATTTACTTTCTGCATAATGTTTTAACTATGTGATCTAGAACAGTGCTTCACTGATATCAAGCTGTTTTTTTCTTTCATTAATTGTTCTGTTTTCTTCATAATTTTTTTCTTTTTGTTTTGAAAACAGCTGTTATAATAGGTCCTGATGGACAGCCTTTAACAGTTTATCCATGTCACATATGTGGAAAAAAATTTAAATCCAGAGGATTCTTGAAAAGGCATATGAAGAACCATCCAGATCATATGATTAAGAAGAAATATCAGTGTACAGACTGTGACTTTACAACTAACAAGAAAGTTAGTTTCCACAATCATCTGGAAAGCCATAAACTCATAAACAAAGTTGACAAATCCCATGAGTTTACAGAATATACAAGAAGATACAGAGAGGCCAGCCCATTGAGCTCTAATAAATTAATATTGAGGGACAAGGAGCCTAAGATACACAAGTGCAAATATTGTGACTATGAGACTGCAGAGCAGGGATTGCTCAACAGACATCTGCTAGCAGTTCACAGCAAGAACTTCCCCCATGTTTGTGTTGAGTGTGGGAAAGGATTCCGTCATCCCTCTGAGCTTAAAAAGCATATGAGGACCCACACAGGGGAAAAGCCATATCAGTGTCAGCACTGTGTCTTCCGATGTGCTGATCAGTCCAATCTGAAAACACACATCAAAACTAAACATGGGACAGACTTACCATTCAAGTGTGAGCACTGTCCCCAGGCATTTGCAGATGAAAAAGAACTTCAGGAGCACACAGAGTTGTTTCAAGGACATAAGACTCATCAGTGCCCACATTGTGACCATAAGAGTACAAACTCAAGTGACTTGAAACGGCACATTATTTCAGTTCACACAAAGGACTTTCCCCATAAATGTGAGGTGTGTGAAAAAGGCTTTCATCGTCCATCTGAGCTCAAAAAACATAGTGAAACCCACAAAGGTAAAAAGATACATCAGTGTAGACACTGTGACTTTAAAACTTCAGATCCTTTTGTACTTAGTGGGCATATCCTCTCAGTTCACACCAAGGACCTCCCTTTTAAATGCAAAAGGTGCAAAAGAGGATTTAGGCAGCAAATTGAACTTAAGAAGCACATGAAGACCCACAGTGGAAGAAAAGTTTATCAGTGCCAGTATTGTGAATATAGCACCACGGATGCATCGGGCTTCAAGCGACATGTAATATCAATACACACAAAAGACTATCCACACAGGTGTGAATACTGCAAAAAGGGATTCCGTAGACCATCAGAAAAAAATCAACATATAATGAGGCACCACAAAGAGGCCATAATGTAATATATCATCTTGAGAAGGAAGAAATTTAAAAACTGATATGCTAATTGGGGAAAAAAATCTCATGAACTGTTTCTCCTGGTTTCAAAGCTTGATATTAAATCATAACTTTACATTCTTTGTATTAAAAGTCTTAAAAGTATTAGGGTTGACAGGGGATCTCATAGCCCTATGATTGTTGCTTATCAGAACCTAAAGAGCACTATAGAATGCAGAAGGGTGGATGAATGTCTGAAAGGTTACAGGATGGTTGCAGAATGTCTTCTATTTACTAGTATTATATGTTAAGCTGTAGAAGACAAAATGAAGATGATTGTGTTACCTACCCTTTTTGTCAATAACAGCATTTGTCTCCAACATGCAAACAATTCAGACTGGTGGGATTATTACAAACTGTTTGCTAAGGCAACCAAGTCTAACTTATGCATTTTTGAAAAGAAAAAAATATAAATCAATCACATGGTCATAATGTTTTTAAATTGTGCCTGGGAATTGTATTCCAGATTTGGTCAATTTGGGGGTTTTGTCCCATTTTTTAACATTTCATTGGGGAACCTTTTTGTTTCCTTCATTAGTTTAGGTTCAATGAGTAATTTTTTAAAACAATTTTCAGAGCTGCTAACCTATTTTATTGCAGGATAAGATGTTTAAAATATAGCATTATGTTATGAGCTCAAAGGTGGTGTTCTGGTGCTAGGGATAAAGATGTATATGTATATAATTTCCCTTTTTTTATCTGAAACTGCAGTTGAATGTTGTTGAGTATGGCACATATGACAAAATTAACCTTGAATCTGATTTTATTTTTAAGGAAAATGGATGCAGCTGACAGTGTTGAGACAACACCTTTTTTTCTTGCTATTTCACAATCTTCTCTAAGAAAAAAAAGTATTCAAATTCAAAGAACAGAATAGTTTTCTTGAATTAAAAGACAAAATATTTAGAGGTTATTTAAGGCAGTGTTCATCACAGGTATGGCTGTTATAGTCCTACCTGCTAATATAAAGTTTTCAGTATAGACATTAAATTGCACCTTTTAATCAATTCTTTAAAAAAAAATCTATACCATACTATAAACATGCATTTTCAATCTGTAAGAAAGTATATATGCAGTATTTAACCAGAAAAATATGCTGCCACTAGAGTTTGGAGGTGGATCTTCAGTTTACAGTGTATACATTTAAAATATGCATCCCTTTAAACAATGCTTTGTGTTAGCATGCTGCAAATCAAATGGCGCTTAATATAACAAGCTGGTCTAGGGCTATTTAATGAAAAACCTGTTCATAAATGTTATGCATATAATGTGTACTTTTTTTACTTTTTTTAGTTGCTTCATGTTTGCACACCGCTGTTCACATGATAAATTGTAACTTTACTTCATGCTATATTGTGGCTTTGTGTTTCAGATAATGTTCATATTGTTTTTGCACCAGATGAGAATCAGTTCCTTGAGAATAAATTTTTTTTATATTTCTAAACTTCAGAAAGTTAAATTGGGAAATCTCTTAGAAAAATACGTGTTTTATGTGGCTGTAAAAAATGATGTACACGCTGTAAAATAAGATTGTCACTGTTATGTGGGATTATTATTTCTAAATGTGTTACTCATCGTAATGAGCATACAATAAAACGCATCTCTTGCACTCCCAAGGGTAATTTTTTTTGAGTTTTTCTCATTTAGGTTGATTCTAGGAATGTATTCACTGAAAGTCTGTTAGTATTCTAATTTTGATTATTATCATTTTTTACGTGACGTAATCATTTGGTCTTTAATAAACTAATTAGTTTAGAAGCATGTTTTTCAGAAAAATATTGCTTTTTGTTTTTCAGTTTATTTACTCTGTTGTACTAGTACTAATAATTTTCAGTAAATTTAATTCAGGGTATTTACTAAAACTCTTGAAATATGAATATTGGTATTTTTTAATCTCCTTGTTGAATTATGCCAAACATATTTTTACATGAATTTAATGGAAAGACAAGTCGGTTGATGTTTTTTAAGTGCTTAACAGTTGGGATTTAGAACACAATTTTTCTTGTTTGAATTGAATTTTTATATCAGACCACTAGAAAAATATAAACTATAATCAGATATATAAAACTAGTTTATTTTAATCAGACTTTATGTTGTGGGAAAGTTAAAAAAAAACAAACCCTGAAATAATTATATTCTGCAAATATCTTAATGGAAATTTTTTTCAAAAATGCTTCCCATTGGCTTGTTGCAAATTCATTGTACCCTGTGTACTTGTTACTGGTAGGAAAAAATGAGGCCTTGTGGATCGATTCATTCATTGGGGAGGGGGGTTCCCTATTTAAACCAATTCCTTCTCATAGCCAGTTGCCAAGGCAAGAAACAATACCATTCCACAGATCATTTGGATTAATATTTTACTTAATTGAAAATGTTAATGTTTGTTTATGAAAAATATGCAGAATTCATAGACAAAGTATAGACTTCCCCTTTTAAGGAGAATGAAAATTTAAGATTGCAACTAATTTGCCACTCTTCAGACAGTCCCCTCCAACAAATGGACAAAGGCGGAACAATTAGATATTTTAATAGTACAGTGAATAATTATAATAAATTAGTCCCCTAGCAGACTTATCTATCTATCTATCTATCTATCACATGATTGACTGTAATATGATACATATTCAACCAATGTATCATGCAAGAAAAATGGCAAACTAGCTACTAAGATGTTCCACGTACTTGTTACTGGTAGGGAAAAATGAGGCCTTGTGGATCCATTCATTGGGGAGGGGGGTTACCTATTTAAACCAATTCCTTCTCAGAGCCAGTTGCCAAGGCAAGAAACAATACCATTCCACAGATAATTTGGATGCTCCCCAATGCTAGGTTTCTTGAGCCTGGCAGCTGTGCAAAGTGTTTTGAGGAATTTTATCCCAGATCCTCAAAATCACACCTGCTGCCATGGCAGGATATGTAATTCTGAGATCCAGGATAAATTCCTTAGATTGTTTTTCTTGATTTAAATCAACATTTGCCAAGAGTTTCAAATGACACTTTACAGCAGTGGTCTCCAACCTTTTTAAGTTGGAGATCACCTTTGGCATTTAAAAGCAACCCAAGATCTATTGTGCACCACTGCCACCCCCTTTTTCCCCTCTTCCCCAGCAGGTAAGTCTGTGGGGAGGGAAGTGGGGGCAGATCAAGGCAGAGGGAGAAAAAATTATTTGGGGGTACGCCTCCGTAGCAGGTAAATTCCACGTGGCCGGGGTCCCATTCAATTTACCCCTATTCCTGCCTCTCAATCTAGCCCCCGCCCTTCCCCACAGACTGACCTGCTGGGCTGGGGCGCACACATGTATACACGTGAGCACTCAGCCCCCCACCCCAGCCTCGGATCAACTCCAAGAAGCTCCATGATCTACCACTGGTGACTACTGTTTTACAGAGAGATTTAATCTTGTGCCACCAACCTTTGCTAAAATGCTACATCTAGAATATTAGGGCTAAAAAATGGAAATAAAAGGGTTTAATCTTTTCAGTGGATGCCAGTACCTGTATTTTGCATATAACCCTTAAGTGGCCTGAAATTCTTGATTTCAGAGTTGACATAAGTATACAGAAAAGGTATTAGAAGCAATTGATAGTAGTTTTGGGGCTCCGATCCTGTACATTTGGACTATTGACAGTAAATGTGTTGGGCTCTACAAGTGAGTGAAATTATTAATTGCAGTTTTAAATTCTTCAACTTGTAAAGCATTTTACTGAAATAGGGTTTTTTGTAATTTAGTGACATCTACAGAATATGTGATGTGTGCTACCAGAATATTTTTCTGTAGCAATTAGATTTATAATTGTAATTTGCTTCTTGTGAATAACGCGCCTTTCTCAAGATTGTTTTGAAAGCTCGTGTGCCATACCAGCATGTATTCCTGATAATTCTGTTTGTGCTGTATACATATATTGTGTTTGGGAGGAGTGGGGGTGGTAAGAGACAAAAAAATAAAAACATCTCTTTGAAAGTTAGAGAAATACCCATATGCTTAAGCAAGACTGTTCATATACAGGTGAAACACACTCCTTTACATTTTCAAAGCTATTGTATAGCTGTGATCCTGGTATGGAAAAGGAAGCAGTTTGAGAAGCTGGTTTGGACTTTGATTCCATTCTTTTAAGAGAGGTGCAGAGGTTCTCAGTTTTGTTGGGTCTGTCAATGCTCCTAGCTATTGGGGTAGAATTGGTGCTAAGAAATATTTTCTTATATCTTTAGCTATCCAGGTGATTGAACCTTCCTTTGTGGTGAGGCTGTGGCCATTGCCTAGTTGTTATCTTGCCAGCTTCCTGAGCCAAAGGTCACGAGCTGAAGATCCCTATGTGACAAACAGATGATTGATTATGCTGATAAAACTTCCAGCTTCTTGAGCACCCAAAATGCCACAATTGTCTGCTAACGTCAGTTTTCCAAACTTATCTGAATGATCAGTAGTATCCAGTAAAAAGTATTTCTTAAGTAATTGGAATACAGGATAGTTTTATCATTAAACAAAGCCAAGAAGTCCCGTGGCTTCCCAGTTTCCACCCTCTCTTGGGTCCTCATAAATTATGGAATTGGATGCCTCCCATTGTATTTTCTCACATGCTACATGATCCAGAATAAAACGTACACCTTGTTTTTGAAAAACAGAAAAGAAAAAAACTCTCCTCCCTGTAGTAACAGGGTGTTTATACATGTGCTGCGGGGTGTGGGGGGAGAGGGAGGCACTCCGAGAGCTGCTTTAATTAAAGTGTCCAGAGCATTATGTGTATCAGCGTCCCCGCGCTGTTAAATGGTGGCAAGGGCACTTTAACTAAAGCTTATCAAACAAGCCTTAGTTAAAGTGCCCCTGCTGCCATTTTTCAGCACAGGGATGCTGATGCACCTGACACTGGAGTCTGCTGGAGCGCAATAATTACCACACTCCAGCAGACACAATTAACTGAGTCTGTTCTGATGCGCTGTAATTACAGCACGTTGGAGCAGCCTCAGTGTACATGTATTATGTGTACAGGAGCAGCAACTAGGGAGCCAAGCCTGCTCATTGTATTGTGCCCCATGAATCACTGCAGATTTTTTTTACTGTATTACATTATCCAAATCAATTTGTCCCATCGTGGTAACCAAGGCATCTTTTGGTGGTGTTTTCTCATTAATTTTTTGACAGGTTTTGGTTCCCTGATTAAGTCATTGCTGTTTTAACTTGTTTGGGAGCTATGTGGGCTGGTATCCAGTTGCTCCCCACTCCTTAGCTATACCAGTCACATTTATAATCCTATTCTGTGTAAGAGTTCAGGGGCATCTTCCTCATTTACTGTGGAAGTACTGAAAGCTGGTAGTCCTTATTTGGTTTGAATCTGCTTTTCTTACTGTCTGTTTTTTACTTCACACAGTCTATGATTCCTCTACTTGTAGTGGGCTTAAGTAGGGAACTGCTGAGGTCGGATATTAGTATTGCCCGCACCAGATACCTGGATCTGTTCCTAGTGGGGGAAAAAATCAAGCCTCAACCCCAAAGCTTCATCCATGCTTTACCTCAAAACCCCCCACCAAATTATAGGGAAATGTGCAACCAGCCTACCATATAGTAGCTGTCTTTGTTGGAGCACCACTTCTGTTACCTGGATTACAAACAAACTTTGGTAGTTTAACTACTGACAGGGGTCAAGAAACTTTTATTTCTTGTACTCCAAAGCACAAAAATAACCACTTACCTCAAAGTCTGTCTAGCTACCCATGGCAGCACAACATAGATCCTTATTACAGATCAGTGGTTCTCAACCAGGGTGGGTGAGATCCTTTCAAGGGTTTCATGCCACTGGCGCCAGATGAAACCAACCTGAGTATCTCTGTTTCCCAGAGGTACATGTGGAGCCAGATCTAGTCCCTAGCTCCTGCCTGCATCAATTAAGAGCATCTCCATCTATCCCAGCTGCTCCTGGTCCAGTTCTGTGCATGCTTTCTGGAAAGAGGTGTGCAGGGCTGTTTCACCTGGTAGAGGAGGTGGTGATGTAGCCTGGAGATATAAACTATTATTGCTGCAGTCTCCATGGTGCTGGCTGGGCAGACACCCATGTGCCAGGGTTGGAGACCAAAATGGGGTTCCCTTTCTGGTATGTCTTGGAGTGGCAAAGCAGAGCAATCGAGGAGCTCTGTGGACAATAACAGCAGCAGCAGCCAATGCAGGTAGTGAGTGATGGGTCTAAGAGACATCTCTCCCACCCCAGAGCATCAGCCTCTGTTGCTACACCCACCAGATTGATACAGCACTCACAGGGATATCTGAGAAGCCACTGCCAGCAATGCACCTACCAAGGCCTGGCTGGAAGGGGAGGGGAAGCAGGGGGCTGTGATTGCAGATAAGGGGATTTGTGCATGCTAAGGGAACCTTGTGTGTCTGGAGAAGCAGGGTTCGGTGTGCCCATACCACAGGAAGGCTGCTCATGTATCTATGTATGTATGCATGCAAGAGAAGGGGATCATGTGTGTCAGTGAATGCAGGGAGGGAGGACTGTAATAAATCAGCTTTTTAAATTGTGGGGAGAAGGGGGTTACAGAGGGTGCCTAGAGTCTAAAAAGCTTGAGAACCACTTGGCCATTATTTACTCACAGCTGAGACCAAGGCTGGCAACAGC